GCTTTTTCTGTCGCTTGGTATTCTTTCGCCATTTCCAGGGCAATTTGGTGTTGGCGATTGATCTCTCGTCGCCATGCCAATGCCTCAGTCTGTTTCCCGACTCCTCGCTTCAGCGACGTCGTCATAGCTCGTAAGGTTGTGTGAGCATCCCAACCATGTACAAGATAAAATGGCGTCTCCTTGCGAGTCATATCGTGCGAATTGTTGATCGCAAATACAAGTCGTTCAGCAATCTCGTCCCAGTCTTGCTGGAGTGGGTCTTCCACGTAAACTTTTACTGACTGCATCACCGTTTTCACCGACCGCTCCTGCTGACCATTAGCTTGGGGACGATAACTTAGTGTTGATTGAGATAGCGCTTGTATAAGTTCTGCGAACGCTTGAAAGACTTCACTCATGAACCGTGGGTCACGGTCATGTCATATTAGAGATGGAGCCCCAAATCGTCGATAGATGCTTTCTTCGAATACTTTCGCCACAGTCAACGCGTCTGTATCTGACATCGCTTTCGCAATAACAAATCCAGTAAATGCACATTGCCACAAGAGTAGTGTTGTATTCCCTCGTCGAGACTTTGGTAGCGGAATTACAAAGTCCATCGATACTACTTGGAATGGCCGTTCGGCCAGCACATTTCCAGGTGAATATCCTTTGAGCTGTGGTAGACTCTTACTTGAGCTACAGTCTAGACATGATTTAACGTTTCTCCACGTCCGCATAGAGTCCAATCCAGTAGTAGTTCAGTTTTACCTTCTGGTACGACCGGACTACTCCTTGATGTCCGCCTTCAATAGAGTCATGACAATTTTGGAGAACCTCCTGTATCATGGTTGTGGGCACAACCAGTCTCAACGACAACTCGGCTTGATCTTCATCCAGTTTACGCCTGCTTGGGCCCACGTAATATAGCAAACTGTCGCTGGATAGTACGAACTTGTCTGCCCATTTCCATGCTTCCTCTTTATACGTCATCTTCCGCGTATCTCCTCTGAGGACCGCTTTCATCACTGACCAACGTTGTTCTTCGTCCTGAGCGACCGCTATGCGCCGCCGTCGTTCTTCTTGGACGGTTATTGGGTCAATATCTTCTGCATTTGGTGCCCATTGGAGCTCAGCTGATAGTCTGGCTGATTCTGCGTTTGGTTCTTTTCTGGTTGCCTCAGTCGTAGTTTCGAGTTCGGGTGTTGCATTTGCGTTTTCAGCTGGCTGTTCATCTTCAAAGTGGACTCGTTTTCGACTGGTAGTCTGACTCCGGATTATGGTTGCTATCGTTGCATGTTCGTGAACGGATTTCAAGGCGTCTGGGTCTTTTGTCCTATGGTTATCTGCCGAAGTGTCGTAGATCATTTCTTGAATTCTGTTCAATTCTTTGAGTTCAAGCTTCCGATTAGCACTCAGCATAACTTTCGACACTTTGGACTCCAAGGCCTCACTAGGAAGCGAGTCGGCTGCCGCGTTGTATTCCCGTATGACGTGAAGGTACCTGACGGACTTGAATTTGGCAGTGAGTTCTCGGTGGCGGTTAAGCAAGGTAATTAATGAATCCTTTCGACATGCGATCACCCCTAGTGATTGTTGGATTGCGAGCCTTGAATCTCCGACTATGACTAGGGCGTCAGCACCGAATTCAAGGGCTGCTTGGACCCCATTATTCATTC